TTTTATTCTTGACATTTTTTCGATAAACTAACTCGCTTAGGAGTTACAGCCTATTGAAAAATGACTTCCGGTGTACATTTTACATCATGTAGCTCCTAAACTAGTGGGTTTATAGCGAAAATGCGAAAAGTAAATAAGTCAAATAAGTCTTAAAATTGCATCCACATTCCAAAAAGACCATAAAATTCGTTAAAACTATTAATTCTACTATTTCCAAAATGGCGGCAAACATGAAAAGTGAAAAACTGTGTATTTTATGGTCTTTATAGAATGTGGATGCAGTTTTAAGACTTATTTGACTTATTTACTTTTCGCATTTTCGCTATAAACCCACTAGTTTAGGAGCTACATGATGTAAAATGTACACCGGAAGTCATTTTTCAATAGGCTGTAACTCCTAAACGAGTTGGTTTATCGAAAAAATGTCAAGAATAAAATAGTTTTTAAATTGCCTGTTCTATCCGAAAACATGATAAAATATAGGGTGTTCCATAAGAAATTGCAAAGTTAGCCGCCATTTTGGAAAATGGCGGCTGAATTTCGGAAAAATAGAATTATATTTTTAACTGCAACAAAAAAATAAAGGAATGTCCCCCATTTAAAGTGTTCCCTAATTCTTACCGTTTCCGAAAGCCCAATGGTGGCCTCCTTGAGTTGATCACCCTGTATATCTAATTCCTTAAGACCAAAATTTTACTATGAAATTGTGAGCAAACGGGAGGCCGTAGAAAGCTGGGAGAGGTCTAATTTTAAAGGTTGGGCATGAAATTTAGGGGGAAATTATTCATTTTTCTTAATAGTTGTTTTACGGTTTTGCAAATAATTATCCGTAGTGGCTCCGCCAATGATCACAAAAGTTACCACCCTTATACCATCCTTTATTGCACAGATTAAAAATTATACAGCGATTAAACTACAATTAATTCTATATATAATTCAGTTTTAAAAATCTTTGTACAACTAAATCTAGAGTTCTACTGGACCGATTTTATTAATTAATGGGTCGTTGGAAAGCTTAGGTCGTGTAGATTTGCAAATAATTATGAAAGTTTGTTTTTATTATGATTTATGGTGAAAAATTTCAAAAAAACATGTTTTCCATAAGAAATACATTGAAAACGGTGTTTTTCACACTTTTTATTTGGGTGCGACTTTTAGCTGCCTTTTTTAGTGTTTCCAAGAAGTGTATGGTATCAATTTGTAGGAAATTTTATTCTCTTTCAGAATATCACCTTCCACTTTGGTCGATTTCCTCACTATTTAAAAGTTATTTGCAAAAAAGCTAAGCAACCTCCGAATTTATAATAATGAGAAAATATTGAGTTTGGGATATTTTTGTTAAACTTTGTACAACTAAATCTAGACTTCTACCGGACCGATTTTGTTAATTAATGAGTCATTGGAAAGCCTTACTCATGTAGATTTGCAAATAATTATGAAAGTTTGATTTTATGTAATATTTGTGGTGGAAAAATAAAAATAACAAAAATACATTAAAAACTGTTTTTTTAGGTTTTTATTTTCAAGTTTATATTTGTAGTCAGCTTTTGGCTGCCTTTATTAAATAATTTCAAGAAATACACAGAAGGTATTTGTAGGAAATTTTATCTTCTTTCAGAATATCACGTACATTTTCTACGATTTACTCACCATTTAAAAGTTATTGTCAAATTAGATAAGTGACCTCCAAATTTTTAGTTGTTAAAAATACTGAATTAGGGATATTTTTGTTAAACTTTGTACAACTAAATCTAGACTTCTACTGGACCGATTTTGTTAACTAATGTATCGTTGGAAAGCCTAATTTGTGTAGATTTGCAAATAATTATGAAAGTTTGATTTTATTAAATATTTGTGGTGAATAAAGAATAAAAAGCAAAAATACATTAAAAACTGATTTTTTTTTATAGTAAATATTTTAAAATTTCAATTTATAGTTAACTTTCGGTTGCCTTTTTTGAATATTTTCAAAAAACGCCTAAGAGTACTTTGTAGCAAATTTTATTTTCTTTCAGAATATCACCTTCCACTTTGGTCGATTTCCACACCGTTTAAGAGTTATTTGCAAAAAAGCTAAGCAACCTCCGAATTTATAGTAATGAGAAAATACTGAGTTAGGGATATTTTTTTTAACTTTGTACAACTAAATCTACAGTTCTACTGGACCGATTTTATTAATTAATAGGTCAATAAAATCTGTGTATATTTCCAAATAATTAGTAAAGTTTGAGTTTTATTTATTTATGGTAGTAATACGTTTGCCGGTATGAATAATCTAAAAATGTTATGGTAGTAATAATGGGTTAGCCAGTATGCATCATCTGATCATATGGAACACATGTATTAACCTATAGTTTAACAGCTGATCTTTTTATTGTTATTTTCTTGATTTTTCTTTGTTTACATTTAGTTGTTTACTATTTGAATTGGTGGTTGAGGTCCGTAAAGTGTGTTTCTAAAGTGATGTTTTTAATCTGTACCATTAATAAGTATTGGTAAGTTAAGTGATGTATGGATTTCATAACCAAAAATTTTAAACTGCCAATTATAAATTATTCAAATTTAATTTATAATTCACAGTTTAAAATAGTATTTAATATTCGTTATTTTGAAATGTTAATTATAAACTCAATATTTTACATTAGTTTAAAAATGAATAACTTTACTCTTCACTACATGGTTGGTGATGGAAACTGTTTCTTTAGAAGTGTCTCATTTTTATACCATACATCTCAATCCAGATACAGTGATATACGATCCACGGTAGTTGATGAAGTCGTCAATAACTGGGACTACTATTGTCCTTTGATCGTAGGGGATAAGACATATAGACTAGAAGTAAAAAACGCGACGGAATACAGAAATTTGATGACCGAAGATGGGGAATACGCCGGTAATGTCGAAATCGAAGCTGCAGCAAGAGTTTTTGACTGCCAATTTAAAATATATGCTGAGAAATTGGATTATTTTGTAACGGTTGGTGAAGGCACAACGATCTATAAACTACGATTCTCAGGAAATGTGGATGCTGGGCATTACGATGTTTTGATAGACAATAGTATGCCTGAGAATCAAGAGGATATAATCTTACCAAAATCAAAACGTGGCCGTGCATCAAAAATATAGAAAAGTAAAACATGTTCTGGCAGACGTGAATCAACAGCTCATAAAAATAAATTGAAGAAACCAAATTATAGTATAGATAAAGATTTACTCCAAGGGGTAAAAAAGTGTTTATCAAGCAATCAAAAGGATGGAGAACCAGAAAAAGAAAAAGAAACAGAACAAGATAGTCTGACCAACACTTCACTCAGAGATGATGCAACTTCCTCAACCTCCTTAATTTGTGTATTGGGAATGCCAATACACAAATTAAATTTAAAAATTGGAGCTGTAATAATGTTGCTACGAAATCTTAACACAAAACGGGGGTTATGTAATGGCACACGATTAATTGTTAAAGAACTCAAGCCAAATTAAATAATTGCAGAGGTTTTAACTGGATCAGCAGCACGTGAAATTGTATTCATTCCAAGGATTGACTTAGCACAGACGGACACAGATTTACCATTTGTTTTAAAAAGACGGCAATTTCCTTTAAAATTAGCGTTTGCTATTACAATAAACATAGCGCAAGGCCAGACATTGGATAAAGTTGGGATATACCTTCCAGCACCAGTATTCAGCCATGGACAATTAATTGTATGTTGCAATATCAAGGGTTAAAAGGTTTGAAGACATAAAAATTAAAATTATCCCTGGCAAAGAACAAGGAAGATTATTAAAACAATCAGATGAAGTCTTTACAAAGAATGTTGTTTACAAAGAAATACTGTAAATAAAATAATTTTGTAAAATTTTATTTGTTTTTCATTATTTTACTCTTTTAGAAAATCAGTTTATTTTCTAAACAATTTCATTCTTTAAAAAATGTTCAGGTACTTACAAGGGCATATATTATGTACTACTGTACTTTCTAGGGACCGTTGTATTTATTAACTACAACGGGCTCTGTTGCTAGTACTAAATAATGGTGTAAATACCTGCATCTATGTGATCAATGTGTTTCTAAAATGCAACTGGTTTCGACTCACAAACTAGTCATCGTCGTACAATTAATACCCCCGCTGCAGCAAACTTACAGACTAAGCGAATTTCCATTTGCCTGATTGGATTTACACTAAAATACCTATATCCTTTAATAAGTACTTAGGTTTGCTGCAACAGGGAAGGTAAAAAAGTGTTTTTTGTAAAATTTTAATAGTTTAGTGAAAGTTAACAGTTTAGAGTTTACTTATTCTTTCATGTTTTTCAACCTTCGCTTATTTTGTGAAACTTGTGCTCAGGTCTAAAAGAGTTACTTTACACCCTAGTGATGAAATATTATATACTATTTCCCTTTCCTGTAGCAGGAAATCTTACTAACCTTACTAGTAGTACTTATTAAATATAATGTTACTGTATTTTAAAAGGGAATAAATATAACTAGTTAATGGAAATATTTTAGTAAAAAACAAACAGGACAAATTGAAATTCGCATAGTCGGTTTTAATTATAGTTAATAATATGCAAAATAAAACATTCAAACTGTCATGGTTTTATTAAAATTATGCATATTTAGCGTGGATGGAATTAAGTTAACTCTAAATGTGTGTAGAATTAAGTTTTTGCAGGGAAGGAACAATCAGAGCACTCTTACAATGGGTACATGGTTTTAATAGTCTTTATTGTTGGGTACGGTACTTGTTAACACACTCACTCCTGCTTGTCTGGAGACTCTACATACAGAGGAGTGTGACGGCCGGTACTGAACCTGTTGAGACAGCAGAACTATTGCTGGCCCCTCCACCCTCCTCCAATCATAAAACCTGTACCAATACTACTGTGACAAAACCTGTAATTGAAGATGCTGAATAGAATAGTTTATGTTCAAAAAATAATACCCCTTATAAACCCTCTGATTGTTCCTTTCTTAAACTATTTGTATGACAACTACTATAAAACTGACTAAAAAAATCATTTATTTAAATATTAAGTAATTTTCAACATGATGGTTGAATGTTGAAACAAAACAAATGTACACAAAATACTTTTCACACACTCAAGTTTCATTGGAATGGAAAGTCAGAGACTTCAGTCTGTTTGCTAATGCACACTGTTTATTCTCTCATCTCTCCTTCCTCATCGTCCTCCTCAGCACCTCGAATGTATAATACATTGTTGCATCGGATCAGTATTTCTCCCAGCTCGCCTGTCTGTTTGCCATCCACCCACTCTTCTGTGCTGGCCATTTGGAGATTCATATAGCTGTCTACCGACACCAAGAACCCTCGGTATTCCTGGCCCCACTTCAACTTCACAATTACAGATTTCCCCGTTAGGCTGTTGAGGAACGGCTTTGGGTTTATGGGCATAGTAGTCGCCATCTTGATGTTTTGTAAGACACAGTGTTCAAATACTGAAACAAAAGTATTTGTAAGTTTGATTACCAGCAGTACTGGTACATATATCCAAATTGATTTTGATGAAGAAGCTTCTTTATTAAATATAGGTTTGTTCAGTTTAATAGACCTAAATTCAATAAATACCCTAGCCTATATCCAGTGCTTGATTTAAAAAAATGACAGTAACCTACAGGCAATTATGACCCCCCCCCCTCAAAAATTGTTTACCTGTGTTGAGTATTAGGAAAAAAGAAACATTTCAATTAAGTCAAACTTGTAACTTGTTTATGAACGTAATAAAAAGCATTAGGTTTTAAACAAAATACAGTATTACTAGGTTAATTCAAGTGATATTTCTCAGAATATGTTCCAGAACTTCAACATATTTTTGTCACATTCCTTTTCTCTCGATCTCTATTTACTGTCGACAGCTAGCGCTGAGCGGTGTCCAGAAACCAGTCAGGAGTCCGCTTACTTTTCTGGGTCAAACCAGAGGAGATCCATTAAGTTTAAATACAATAGGCCAGCGACTGTCAGTTTCTGTTGAACACAACATGTCCATGATCAAAATCATATTTATTTGGCTCACGGACAAAAAAATTAGGAATTGTTTTTATGTTTCCTAATGCCAATATTTTTATCTTTCCAAAAGAGTCCAAAAGAGCCTACCGCCGCACATCAAGCACTGCCTATAACTATTTTTTTTTAGAATGACACAGAGTATAATTTATTGTTTACACATTTGATTTGGATGGCAGTATGTAACACGGTATTACACTGTCAGTATAATACTTTCCTCAGCAGGGGATATAGTAGTTTTGTCTTAGAGAAGTCTTTCAAATTCATTAAATGCCCAATTTTGTTGATTAAATTCCATATTTTTGGAACAATTTTGTTGGATGGTTCTAATATCTTTTGAATATGCTTCTTGAGTTTTATATAAATATTAGAGTGGAGTTTTGTTAGCCTATTGAAATAAATAAGTGTGAGAAGTAAAATAAGGACTGTGGTAAGGTTAGGCAATACATAATCCTACAAGTCACAGACATTTCTACAGCCTAAAGGCAGAAGCGGCTGGTAAATCTGACGTTTAGCAATGATCGCTCTACTAAGCGTCTATCGCTCGGGGCTATTTTGCCAGAAGCGTCCGGTACTTGCGATTATTTGTTCAGCGAGTGGTTTTCTTAGGTGGCGAAAGTAGTGCTGTATATGATATGAGCTGTAAGAAGCAAATAGTGAAGTATTTCTTAGCTGAGAAATTCGACGATGAAGAGATTTTAGAAATGTGCGAAGCCAAGGAAGAAGTACATTCTATGTTTTTAAAGAGACCTGAAGAGCAATATTATATTATTAATAAAAAATCACTTCCTTTATCTAGAAAAGTGGGGTATGCTAAAATGGCTTCAATAAATTTATTATCTTCTTCACTTAAATCCCCACTTTGATTGTAACATGTCACTAAACTTAGAAACTGGGTCAAAAACACTAGGCCTAGGCCTACTTAAAAAAAATAGAACAGTCAACAACAAAACACATGTTCTTCTTCTAATAGACGCTAGTGGCTCAGTTACATACGCTGGCGGCTGTAGTGATAGACACTTCTGGCAAAATAGACTAACCTGAAACAAATAACAATGCTAAGCAGTGGGCAGCGATTGACACGGAGTGATCATCGCTGAGCGTTAAGACGTACCAGCCGCTTCTGGCAAGACAGGCCTTAATAACTATGACTAACCTTAAAATAACAGTACAGAACGTGTTGTAGAAGATAAAAGTCCAAGCAATCAATTTGTAACAAGACAGGATGGGATGATTTATTGATACAGTAACATCTTGTAAAATTTGACGTGTTGTTCCTATCGTCCAGTGTGGGAGCGGAAATGCCCAAACTGCTAAAAAATTTTGGTTAAGCCAAACTGCTCTCAAAACAAGGTTGCTTAAAATAAAGAGTAATTTTGACGAGCGAGGGCGGAAAATCCAATTCACTGTGAAAAAATACTACTGTGTTAAAAAATATTATTTATCATTTGGCATTATGCCTTGAACATTGAATTAATGTTAACTTTTACATTTTTTTGTAAAATAATACACCTACCGGTACCGTATATAAATTAGATCAACTAAATCGTTTTGAGAACCAAGCTTCATTTTCATATTTTGAATCAATAATGTATACTTCACTTTGAAATTGCTGGACTCGGAAAAGCTCAAAGGTCTAGGAGTTCTTTGTAAACTTGACTCGACTCGAATAGTAAATTCATTATTGGCACACCCTTAAATATTTATTATTACAGTATTTTTGTAAACACTTATTATCTCTAGTACATCCAACGACTGTTCTAACTCCTAAAACCCACAAACAACTTCATCATGTTTAACTGGTAGGTACTGGTATCTGAAAGATTTGGTTGAGATTCACAGATTAAGTGGACATAAGTTAAAGACTGTAATAAAAAGCATTAAATAAAATAACTTAATTTACATACAGGCCTACTTGACTGTACTAATTTTGTTGACACTATTGTGAAGAGACATAAAAAAATGTGGGAAATTGTGTCGGAGAAGGTGATCAAGAGAACCATAATAATTTATATATCACTAGCTGTCCATAAAAGTATTGGGTGATGAATTTTGGATCTTTTTTGAAATTATCTGTGTTAGTATTTTCTTTTTATTTGACTGTTTTATTAGATTTTTAGGTGTCTATTAAAAATTAGTAATTTAAATATTTAAATCACTCAATACTTTCCTGGCCTTTACAAAGTTAATAATGTTTTAAGAGTGGCACATAATATTCTTTCAAATTCACCTCTGACCCATAATTTGTTTTCCAAACTCCCAAGACTAATATACAAAAAAAAGCTCCTAACTTAAAAGACATTCTTTCAAAGCCCTTAACTACCTCCCACTTCCCAACCATCAGCAAAACCTTCGGGCTGTAATCAATGCAACAAACCACGATGAGCCACTTGCAAATTAATCATCCCATCAAAAACTTTCACAAGCAGCCAAACCAAAATATCTTACAACATAAATAGTAACATCACTTGTGACTCTACTAATGTAATTGACCAAATTTCCTGCAAAAATTGTCCTAAAGACTACATTTTGGCAAAACCACAAATGCTCTTAGAGTTTGTATGAATGGCCACAGATATCATGTAAACCATCCTGATAAACAAAAACCTGTGGCTATTCATGCAAGAGAGCATTCTCAAAATTTTCAACAATGTTCATTAAAAAGAATAAGAAAATTGGCAAAAGACGCATCAGACTTAAAATAAAGACAGCTTGAGCAAGCTCATCAATTAATAGGCCTACTTAAATCTAAAACACCTTCCGGTCTAAATTTGATATAGTATATAAAACATATTTTCTTTCTTTCTTTCTATCAACATAAAAAAGTTATGTCATTTTTAGTTAGGTGTTCAAATTACAAGTAATTTAAATATTTAAATTACTAATTTTTAATAGACACCTAAAAATCTAAAATACATATAATTTATAAAGAAGTAAAAAAGAAAATGTTGATAGAAAGAAAGAAAGAAAATATGTTTTATATACTATATCAAATTTAGACCGGAAGGTGTTTTAGATTTAAGTATTAATTGATATGTATTTTGGATTTTTGCTAAAACAATCTAATTCAGAGTGTAAACACTTCTATTTGTTATTGTTTGTTTGTTCCTGAAGAAGGCTAATGCCAAAATATAGAACTTTTTTTAAAAAGTGTGTGATAAGTTTATTTTGGAAAATGATTTAGCCGTTTGGCAATATTAATCAGTCCTTAAATAAATTTTAAGCCGTTTGAGTTTGGTTGGGTTATGTAAGATTTGCTTACGGTATTTTATTAGTGTTAATTTGTTGTTTATTCATTTCATTAAAACTACACTATTATCACAATTGGACCTAATGGTTACATGGTCAAAACCTAAGCTAAGCCATTCGGTGAAGTAAAAAGAGAAGAACAAAATGAATTCATTCTTCATTTTTCATAATCCAATCCAGTCCAGATTAAATGTGTCCCCCGACCTAGAGGTGTTTATTAATCTTAATTACATTTAAATCAAATATTTCATTTAGCTTTCTTAAATTAACGTATTTACCTTTCTAATTGTGGGTTGTAAGGGTAATATTTACTTCAAACATAATTACTAAAAAGTGCAGCAAAAGAGTGTAACCAACAAGTATAGATCAACCACTATCCAAGCAGTGGGCCTTAGTTTAAAAAAATTAAAATTTTTCCACATAAATAGTACAGGCCTTAGGCTTACTAAGTGCCAAATTCTAATTTAGCCTACTTCTAGAGGTAAGAAGCCTAGATCCTCTTAACTCTAAAGCCTGGCGCACACAAGGGACTTTGAGTCTAGCAACAGTTGCGCAGGAGTGCGCACACAGGCAACTGTTTGATACGGACATTACAGTAAGTTATGGATTTCAATGATACAACAATAGCATATAGCCTACTCTGTTATTGAAAATTTGTGTGCAAAAAAAGAAGAGAATTAGATTGTTCTAATCTTTTGTAACTTCTAAGGATATCTCCTCACACAACTTCTTCTGAAAATTAACAACAGAATAGGCCTAGTCTGTCAATGCCTTTAAATGTAAAGGCGGCCTATTTTCAACTTCATCAATTGAGTAATTGTTCAATGTCCTCAGAACGCACACTGAGACTGAGGGACACTATAAACTTAGTCGTATGTGTAGGCCTAAGCATCTAGACTTATATCAATGGATACCAAGCCTGGAACCACAGTCCCACGACATTGTGAGTCGCGGAGCTGTCTCTGGAAAATTGGGTCCCCTCAACATTTGGGTCCAGGAACAACAGTTGCAATAGTTGTGCGGCTGTCCCTCGACTGTTTCCTTGGTGTGCGCACTCCAATTTAAAACATTTTGGTCTTCTAACTGTTGCTAGACAAGTCGCCTGTGTGCGCCTAGCATAAGTCTTTTTAAAAGAAAATTTCAATGCCCGCTAACTTAAATCTAGGCTAGGCTTACCAAAGAAAACACATAAGTTAGGCCTAATAAAATAGCAGATTTAGACAAATTAAACGACATACAATTTTATGTCAATATAACAAAGGTATGCTCTGGCTAGAATATTGAAAATTAATAAGTCAAGTTTTGTGGACCTAACGAATTAAAGAGAACCACTCCTAAGATGTTAAAGAGAAGACTTTTCGAATGGCTTCTTCAGCATCCATTTTATAATATGAGTGAGTTCAAGGCTTCAAGAATTTTGAATTGTAAAGCAAGATCATCATTTCTTACATATTTGTTTAAATCCAACCTTAAATATTGTACAATAAAGACTCTCTCTCTCTCTCAAGGGTACTACTGTATTAGGATCCAGTGTTTAATTAACTCTTAATTTAGTCTCAAGCAAAGGTTAGCCTGTGTGGGAATAAATTTACTGAACTTAAATTGTTGAGTACAGCGCCTCTTTCAAATATTTTAAGTAGTATTCACGAAATGAAATATAATCAACAAATCAACCAAACACCTATAAACAAACCAATAATGTATTATGCAAAATATGATAGACAAGTAAGTCTGACTTCGGTCTTATAGGTTATGTCTCTCACTACCAAAGAATAGGACACAATTACAGACAAAATCTTACCAAAATAGTTTCCTGTGGTAGGTTTGGTATCCAAAAAGCTGTTACTAGTGGATTATTATTTGACCAAAAACACGAATGGGTTAAGACTAAATGAGCGAAACACAAACAGTAATTGAAAATAATGCTGCCGGTATTGCAAACTTCTATCTATCACGAAGAAGAAGAATGAACCAAAACCAATGAACCACCGGCCCGGCACCGCGAAACGAAACAACAACAAAACGTGCTTTGAACGTACAGGGAAGGAGAAGAAGAACGACGTTAAGAAGATAGCTCAGTGAGAAGACTAGTGTTTAGCTGGCACCATAGATAAAACATACTCCCCGCCTTATAACGGCATAGCTTATAATAATTGCGAATATGTTTCATAACTTATAATCGTGAAAATGTGGCATAGCTTATAATGGGAAATTTAAATTTTTGCATAACTTATAACGAGCGGGAATAACGTCATCACGGATGGAACAGCTGATTGATCCTCAGTTAACAAACAAATTATAGTACGATGGACCTCAAATTATCGTATGGCCTAGCAGCCGCTACTCGGCAATAAGAAGTTGCGTAAAGTGCAGCCAACGTACCTGACAAAACCAAACGTAATTCACACTCCTGACGGCCAAAGAATTTATATTTTATTATTAGCTATTTAACTTTATGTCTATCACAGGTAAATTCGTACATTAAGTACCTAGGCTAAATTCAAATTAAGCTAACATTTAAGTAAGTAATACTGCATATTGTAAATTTGAATAACAAGGTCTAGGAATAGGATTACTACATAACTTAAATACCCCCGCCGCAGCAAACCTGCAGACTAAGCGAATTTCCATTTCCCTGAATGGATTTACACTAAAATGTCTCCTTAAAAATATCACATTTATTCCCTATTTAAATAGAATCAGTTTAAAACATACTTAGGTTTGCTGCAACAGGGAGGATAAAAGTGTTTTTTATGTAAAATGTTAATAGTTAGTAAGAAATAAAAACATTTTCCAAATTTGGGCAAAATATGTTTATAAACAAGCAAACTACAACAGTTTACTTATTCTCCATAAGAATAACATGGGAATTTTAAATTTACAATTTTTTGGAATTTTCTTCGTAACCATTAGGCGCATTATAACGCTTCAATATACTAAATTATTTGTTTTTTTAAGCTCTACAAAATAGTTTCGAAAGAAATTGCAAAATTTTATGGTTTTTGGGTCAAAAATGGGAAAAACCCATTTTTACCCAATAAAAGCCCCCATAAACCCCCGTTCCCATGGTCCGATCATGCTGGTTCGCGAACTCGTTCGAATAAACGTAGGTTTACACGTTTGTACCAAATTTCATCAAAATCGGATCATTTTTGCTCGAGTTATCGCGCTAACGGACACATATATCTATATATATAAATATATATATAAATATATATATAAATATATATATAAATATATATATAAATATATATATAAATATATATATAAATATATATATATATATATATATATATGAATTTGAACGGATGGTGTTTTTGACCTCTAGGGACCTCAAAGCGAAAAAAAAATCGGTCCCGGGTCCAGGTCTTACCGTGAGTACTACGGTAATAGCTTATTCCCTATATGGGAAATTCGCTAAAAGTAACTTACATAAAGACATAAAGAAAAAAATAACTCCAATGAATCAACAGCATGAAGTAATTAACTTAGATAATAAAAATCAACATTTTACCTATTTTATTCCACCCCATTTCAATGTTTATTTTATAATACCATGTCATAGTTCAGAACCATATCATTATCCTATCCAAGCATAAAATATCGTATATCTGGTAGACCTGACTGAAGAGAGTGGCAGTTGCCGTTCCCACAATCACAATGCAGCATTCTCCTCAATTATAAGCTATGCCACAAAATCAGAATTATAAACTATGACTAAAAACAGGATTATAAGCTATAGAAAAAATCTGAATTATAAGCTGCGCCACTATTTGATCATTATAAGTTGTGAAACTTAAAATGTTTCACACCTTTTAATGTTTTCGTGAAAGTGTGGCATATAGGCTAGCTTATAACTGATTATAAGCTATGCTACATTTTCAGGATTATAAGCTGTGGAACAAATTCCTGATTATAAGCTATGCCATTATAAGGTATGAGACCACACGATAATTTTATATATTGTATGCACTGTGGATGCGATACTCTTGGTGTGGATTAACGTCCGCACTAGTGAGTACCGGTACTACGACTATATCCGCAGAACTATCCTGATAATTAGACCAATTCGTTAATACCAAGGCAAAATGTGGTTCGGATTCCACTATAAATTGTAGGTCCATTAGTTGCCATTAGCTGTATGGGCTATTAATTAACAGAGCTGTGTCTAAGGAATATGTCGACTTATAGTCACTAACAAGACTACAATATCGCGCCACTCATCCTACACTCATCTCCACTCCATTCGTACTTGGCTTAAAATAGGTACCATCTTTGTATGGTCACCATTATAATGAAATGTATTAAAGTATTAAAAGTATCGGACGAAACTTCCTTTTACAATAAATTGAATCATATAGGTAGGATTTTTCACATTATTAGTGCGGACTGGGGACTAACCTAATTTCCAATGAGAGCCCGCAATGGATAGCTATAATACCAAAACATACTCCCTTAGTAGATTTCTCATAATTCTGGATCAGCTTATGGCTGAATACATTTCTATTGTAAGTTCCATCCGGTGCACTGTAGAGGACAGAGGTCGGGTTTTGATTACAATAATTCGTTTACTGTTATTTTGGTGATTTAAAATCGTGTTTACAAACAAAACGATCTAATCATAGCCAATAACTCGTCCTCTAGTTATTTAACCAAACAGTAAAGCAAAAACTAACCCTAAAATAATAGAAACACAATTTCGTTAACACTAGCGATCAGTGTCACAAATCATCAAATCAAATCAAATCAATCTTTATTTGCACAAAACATTTACATGATTACACATTGTAACCTTAAATAGGTGCATCGTCAATACAATATATTTTTTAATTATCACATAGAGACAATACTCATTCAATACTAAATGAAACAAATGAAATTTTAGTCAAGATGGCGTCTACCTGCAGAATCCCAGTTCATTAAATTCTGAAACTTTGTACATGGACAAATCTATCAAAAACTGTTTTAAAAACCTTCTAAAATTAGTTAAGTTGAGATTTTTTACATGTTCAGGCAATCTGTTAAACATTCTTTTACTAACCTCTAAAGTTGAATTAATGCTTTGAAAATTACATTGGTTGATTCTTAAATGATTTTTTTGTCTTGTTCCATAGTTATGAACAGAACTATTAGTTTTAAACTGATCTAAATTAATTAAAATATATACTAAACATTCAAAAACATACAAAGATGGAGCAGTCAATATCTCAAGTTTCCTAAAAAGTGGTTTACAATGAGATCTACGGTTAACATTTAAAATCAATCTTAATGCTCTCTTCTGTAACAATAACAGCTTTCTTATGTCACTATCACAGCCCCAAGCCAATATGCCATATGACAAATGACTCTGTATATGTGCAAAATATATAGCAGATAAAACATCTAAACTAACAATTGACTTAAGTCTTCTAATAATAAAAGTAGCTTTGGAAATTTTATTGCACAGGTAACTTATGTGATTGTCCCATTTTACATTAGACTGTAAAACACACCTAAAAACTTTACAACAGACAATTCATCATTACTATTTAGTCGGAGAAAAATTGAATATGACCTTAAAAAATTGCAAGAAAACGTTTGATGGTTTTATTTTGTAGAGTTGGGTTTGCAGAATGACATACTAAAAGTTGCCAAAAATCGGCGCACGAGAAAACCACTAAAATCATAATTTAAAATGGCGGCTTTTTCTAACATTGGACAAACTAAAAAAACATATTTCACATGCATTTGTTATGCACATTTTTCGAGATATTGACTTGGGACCACCGCCCGTATTTATTGGGTGGTTAGTACTTCATTTTGATAGGGAACATGTTTTTGGCCGTCATCTTGGATCCGCCATATTGGACATAGACAATTTTTTTTCAATGTAATGATAGTGTTGTGACACATTATTACCAACTACATTTTTACACTGATTTCAATGCCGAAATCAGTTTTTAAATATCTTTATCCATTTAGAAGATACATTCAAACGAAAACTCTCCTCCATACATTTCTTATGGACGTTTCGTAGTTTGATAATTGTTTTAAAATTATTTTTCTTATATCTCCAGTTCTTATTGACGCTTGTAGTTCGTTCTAGGCTTGAAAAATTCAGTAATGTAAGGGCTTTCATTTGAGCTCTTGGTCATTAAAATCAGACGAGTTAAAGACCAGCTAGGTTTTCTCGTGCACCGATTTTTGGCAACTTTTAGTATGTCATTCTGCAAACCCAACTCTAAAAAATAAAACCATAAAACGTTTTCTTGCAATTTTTTTAACGATCCCTATGTACGTTTGTTTAGTTTGCTTGGACTAATTTCCAAGACAAAATTCAAGACTCTGTGTTTTCTCTTTATTTAAACATAACATATTTGCAGCACCCCAATCTTCAATTAGCCTATTTGAACTAAGAAACAGTTGATCAGCAAAATTTTTATCCTTACACTGAATTTGCAAGGCCAGGTCATCTGCATACATATAAGGTGTTACATGATCATTTAACAGAGCAGCAGGTAAGTCATTTACATAAATAATGAAGTTAGTCCCTAGGGCCTAAAATAGACCCTTGAGGCACACCAGTCGGGACTGGCAGGTAAGGTGAAAAACAGCCATTGTAGAGGACTGACTGATATCGCTGTGACAAGTATGAGTGTATCAATTTTACAGAGAGAGCGTCAAAACCATAAAAATAAAGCTTATTCAATATAACATCATGGTCTATGCTATGGTGTCAAAAGCTTGACGTGTCATAGAAATGTCCACGCACAATTTCTCTAGCATCTAAACCAGATATACAATCTTTCGTAAAATTAACGATAGCATTACTTGTCCCTCTTTTGCCCTAAAACCATACTGCATGTCAGAAAATAACTTATTACCCTCAAAATAAGCTTTGACTTGAACATCTATATATAAAGCCAAAAGTACCCATGAACTTTTGAGAAAACTACAATTAACACCCCCATAAACCAAAA